GTGCCTTCGGTATCGGGCCTCCGGCGATCTAATTCGCGGTGCGAGTTTTTCGGGGGCACTTTTCACGGGGGCAACGTTAGCGGGCAACTTTTGGGGGAGGGGACGTCAGGTCAGAGGTTCAAGGGGGTCAAATCCACCTCCCCTCGCCGCGAAAGGAATCGCGACCAGAGATTTTCGGCCGTTTCCGGCCTCTGGGGGCCCCGAGCGCCCTCGCGCCGTCGCCGCGAGCGCACGTCTATTCGGTCCTACTTGCCCCCCGCGACACTTACTATATATATATAGTTGATATATCCGATATCCATACCTATATCTAATACATAATTTATATATATATATATATATAATATATATATATATACGTGAGGGGACGATGGCCCCTGCCGCCGGCCCCCTCTCTCGGAGAATGGGCCATGGAAGAGCTAAGTCATGAGGCCTTGGCGCTGTCGTGAAGGAGTATCGAAACTTCATGCGAAGCCGAGTCGCAATCAGCAAAACCAACTGATCACAAGAGGGGTTACCACACCTGGCGATTGGTAAGACGTGTATGGTTTAAGGGCTTGGTTACCACACCTTGCGATTAAAGGGCCGAGGGAGTTCTCGCAGTTTGGGTTACCACGCCTTGCGATGGATGTGCGTGAAGGGTGGCACCGAATTTCAGAAATGTGGCAAATCCCATGTGTTTTTGGACCCTGACCCCGCGGATCTGCGTGAGGGGTGGCACCGAATTTCAGAAATGTGGCAAATCCCCTGTGTTTTTGGACCCTGACCCCGCGGATCTGCGTGAGGGGTGGCACCGAATTTCAGAAATGTGGCAAATCCCATGTGTTTTTGGACCCTGACCCCGCGGATCTGCGTGAGGGGTGGCACCGAATTTCAGAAATGTGGCAAATCCCCTGTGTTTTTGGACCCTGACCCCGCGGATCTGCGTGAGGGGTGGCACCGACTTTCAGAAATGTGGCAAATCCCATGTGTTTTTGGACCCTGACCCCGCGGATCTGCGTGAGGGGTGGCACCGAATTTCAGAAATGTGGCAAATCCCTTGTGTTTTTGGACCCTGACCCCGCGGATCTGAGTGAGGGGTGGCACCGAATTTCAGAAATGTGGCAAATCCCATGTGTTTTTGGACCCTGACCCCGCGGATCT